CTGTTGATAGTAAGAAGATTTGGGGGAAATTATATTCCCGTCTTAATAAAATTCCTTTTCAAGATCGACTTTTCTCTTGCTTACCCTTCAGAAACGGTGCACATTTTTTGTGTAGTAGTTTCGCCTTATTAAAAAAAGTATATTGCTGAGTTACACAGAAGTAATAAGTTTCTGTAACATAAACTCTGTAAGAATAAACAGGTTCTATTTGATTCTTGCTTTTTGAATACTCAAGGTCCACTCAAATTGCATGTTCCCAGCTTTCTTTGGAACTATGGAAAGCTGATAAAATCAGGTTAATAAGCGGCTTTGCAAGCTGGGTCTTTAAGAAAAATAGTAAATATTTTCAAGATTAGAATAAAATAAGTGAAAACACAAGTTGCTAGTAAGTACACAATGGAGGCATAGGTTGTGGAGTAGAATTATGGTGGTTCAGATTGTGGGTAAAAATTTGGCATAGCAGGTAATAGGGAGGAATGCAGCTCTTGTGGCGAATGTAAGGTTGGTTAGGAAACCATATGGGGAACAATATATCAGTAGCTACAGCTGACTGCATATACATGGAAGTGATGCACAGGTTTGTTTTGTTTTGTCTTTTTAATGGGTCGTTCCTATATCAAACAGGGTTTTGTGTTACTTTTTTGACAGCATATTCTACCGCTGCAAACCTTAAGCACAAGGTGGGATCCGAGCAGATATGATTGTTAACTTTAAGAGTGTTTTTTGTATTAAAGTAAACTTATCTAATGCAATTAATCTGGGAGAGAATCATTAACTGTAACTGTATATGACTGTTTAGCAAATTACTTTTCAAATGTGTTAACTCTGTTCTAGGAAACAGAATGAAGGAGGTAGTATCTAACAGTACAACCAATATATCTCAAGCAAGAAAAGCTGTGGAGCAATTAAAAATGGAAGCATACATGGACAGGATAAAGGTAATGCTGACTAACTGTTGTTAGTTTGAAATAGCTCTTTACTTTGTGACTGCTGCAGGGGAAAAAAGAACTTTATTCAACTTAAGACAAGGCTGTGTACACACATTCAAATAATCTGGAAGAATTCTCCCTGGCTTGTTCTCCTGGTAGAGAAACTTTCCTAGAAACATTTGAATGGTGAAGAGTGGAGAGCTCTTCACCATTCAAGAGCTAGAGGTGGGGGGAGCCATGTGCACATATCTCTGATACTCTGCAGACTGCCTTAGTCTGCCTGGTGACAGATGGCAGCATTGCATTGGGCAGCCCTGATTGACTGACCCAATCTGCCCATGGTCAGCTTCTGTTTTCCTGCAACACAACATGCAGATTGTGAAGAGGACATATTCTGCTCCTTGCTGGAGCAGCAGAGTCCAGCAAGCAACACAGTCTCCTGTGTAGGGGGAAGTGGTGTTGATGGAGACTTCTCTTCTGAGAGAGGCCGTAGCATGTACCATTCACTCTTCCAAGAGAAACTCTCCTAGGAGTGATTTAACCTTGATTGCTTCCATGTTGTTTTTCTTTTGGAGCAGGTATTTTTACTCTAAGAGAAACATCCTGAACATATGTAAACTCATGGTATCTCTTGGGAGACCAGCAACTCTCCAGGAGACACTGAATGTCTTCTAGATTATTTCATATCATATTACAAAATAATGTTCAAGGAATATTCACATGAAAAGAATGAAGTCTTTATAAAATTACTTACTTCGGACTTCTAGTTGGGGAATTTTCAGGTAGACTAGCTGCTCTTTCATGAGCACACCTAGCATCTGCAAAATAATCATTTCAGGTAAAATAGAAATAGTTGTGGTATCTGTGGTTACCTAACTTGCACATGTAATCCAAGTGAATTGAAACATTTAGTCAGATTTTCATCTGCATTTAGGTGTAAGTAGTTTAACTTGTGCACTGGAGCAGGTTACCTAGCTGGATTGTGGAATCTGCATCCTTGGAGGTTTTTAAGACAGCTAGACAAAGCCTTGACTGAGATGATATAGTTGGTACTGGTCCTGCTTTGAGCAGGGGGGTGGACCCAGTGACCCCCTGAGGTCTCTTCCAACCCTCCTTTTTTATGATTCTCTGATTTAGGAAATTTGCGCAGCTTAAAATCAATGTAGTGGTGGTCCACAATGCTACTGAAAATGAGACACAAAAGATCCAATAATAATGAGATTTAATTTTTATTTTGTGTAATGTGAACTTAAATGCATCTTTACTGAAAATAATCCACTAAGTAAATAGTTGTAAAGAGAAAAGACTATACTTATGTTCTGATCATGCTACACAAGATGATCAATATATTATTTCCTCAAAATGGAAGGCTCATTTTCCCTGCATTTTCAATGTAACATACACAAATATTTTTTAAGATACTAACATAAATACTTGATGCCTGGGTCCTACTTGTAAAGTATTTTACTATATAAAATTAATACCAAATAAAAAGATAGCACATCACCAGTAAAAATCTTGGCAAGAAACATGCCCTACATCACTTCACAATGTTTGCTTTAGTCATAGAGACCCATACACCGTAACTCAGTGGGAATGAGGGTATTTTGGATACCAGTCCTTCCTCTTACCATCCACTCTGTACACTGTTACGTACAGAGTATTGGGCTCAAGGCACTGTGGGCTGACCCAGTATGGTATCTCTTATGTTCTCATGACACCCACTGTATTTCATTAGGCCTTACAAGGAGTTCCCTAAGTGGGAACACTGCAGCTGGTTTCTTGTGTTTCTGTGTTGGAGGAATTTTCTTCCTGGATAGATTTGGGAGTTTTAGGCCTCACAACAATGCTGCAGCCCTCTGGAGTGGATGTGAGGCTCTCGTTCTTGACGTGCAATTAATTTAATGGAAAGCAGTATGAGCAACTTAACATATTAGATGTAAAAACAATGCACTGTGATTATATATAGCAAGGACATAAGCTTTTCTGTAGTCAGTTGAATCAAAAACAGTTGAATATTTATAGTTGAGGCAGGCCTAAGAACCAAATAGCTTAGAAACCAGACATTTCTTAGGATCATAGAATTACAGAAAATTAGAGTTGGAAGGGACTTCAGGGGGGTCATCTAGTCCCAACCACTGCTCAAAGCAGAACCATCCCCAACTATAGCATGCCAGCCAAAGTTTTGTCTACCCAGGTCTTAAAAACCTCTAAAGATGGAGATTCCACAACTTCTCTGAGTAACCTGTTCCAATCCTATACTCCTGTCCTTGTGAGACAGTTTCTCCAAATATCTAAGCTAAACTTCCCTTGCTGCAATTTGAGCCAGTTGCTCCTTGTTCTGTTATCTTCCACCAGTACGAACAGTCTAGCTCCACCCTCTCTGGAACCACCCTTCAGGTAGTTGGGGGATTTAATAGCAGCCTTCCTCAGTCTTATCTTCTCCAGACTAAATCAGCCTCTCCTCATCAGTCATATTCCCCAGGCCTCTAACTATTTTGTTGCCCTCTACTGGACTCTCCAATTTGTCCACATCCTTTGTATAGTGGGGAGGCCCAAAACTGGACACAGTACTCTAGATGTGGCCTCATCCGTGCCAAATAGAGGAAAAGAATCATTTCCCTTGATCTGTGGGCAACTCTTATTAAAGCAACCCAGTGTGCTGTTAGCCTTCTTCACAACAAGGGCACGCTCCTCTCAAGATAGTTTGGTACCCAATGTAACATCAAGTAAAATGGGAATTTTTATCATATAAGGTACCAAAAGTCTAGCGATTCCAATATTTGATGACAGCTTTTCTGAGGTCATAGAATAAAGATGACCTTCAAAGGGGACAGTAAGATTTGGGCATCTTTTGCTCTTTGCTCAAAGACAGCCTCAAAAAGGATGAATGGGTGTGGGTCATCCTATTGTCCTTCTTCCACAGATTTGTCGCTCTTTTTTTCGCCTTGAAAATAATAGATACAGAAAACTGAGTCTCTCCTACCTTTACTGAAAGACTTCTGGAAGTCTGAAGATGCAGATTTTGAGAGTGTTCAGATTTTAACTGAAAAGGTTGTGTCCTTTCTCCCAAGTATTCCTGAACTGTTCATAATACACATTAATAAGGAAAAGTCTGTAAAAATAATTTGAATAAACAATGTTTGGGTAACTGATGTCAAACAGTTACTAGTTATTTATAGACAAAGCCTGAATTTTTATAATGGAAGAGGTGGAGGGGGAGAACTCCTCAAGCTGCCTTCATAAATCCTAACCCTGCCCCCCCCCCGCCAATAAAAATAAAAAAAAATATATATATATATATATATATATATATACATATATG